CAAAGGTCATAGGCTAGTTCGAAGATTAATTTATGGCAGTTGCATTTCAACTGTTACTCTGCATGTATTTTCTAACTTGTCACAGTTCTCTCAGGAAGAGTGTGACCTTACGCCAGATGTTCTGTTATCTTTCATGTGACTGTTGTGTGTTGTGTAGGAGCTGACATACGGAGTGAAGATCTCATGGCAGGAAGCACATTTACCTCGTCTGATCTCTACACTCACTTCATGGATTGTTAGTGCTGAGAAGGATGTGATTAATTTGTCGCTTGGAGTTTTGGTGAATCTCTGCTACAAGAACTTTCCAGCTGTGTATACATTGATGCGTTCTGTGGACAGCAAACAGTTTCTGCGCACCATACTAAAGCTGCAGAATGATGATGTTAACACACGTGTTCAGGTACTGTTTTTGGATGTTGTTTGAATATTAGCAGAAGAGGTGATTTTCATATTAATTCCGCACTAGTATCTTCTATATTTGTAGCTACCCTCAATATTTGGTGGTTGTCTCCTCCATCTGCAACTCAAGAATGTGCCATCCTGTGGTGCTGGGGCCCACTTAACATTAAGGTAGTTACAGCAATGGGCAGTAATGAAAAAGATGATGATAATACTCTCCTCTGTGTTACTTTTCATGAAGGTGATGATTTATTCCAACAGTACTTTAGCTGCACATTGACTATATTCATTAGAAGTTGTGTTTATATCTGTATTATTATGTTAATGAATGCTTGAAAGTCATGATGAACAAGAAATGCCCAGGAAAGTTTATATTTTTGAGAATAAATTACAAGGACAGTGACTTGGAGTTTGAGGGCTGATAACATGCGTGTTTTCATTGTAGTGAAAATTCATTATACATTAATATTTGAACTGCATTCTCACAAAAATTCATAATTTGAGTGTTCATAAAACACATAGTTACTGCGCTTGTTAATATTCCTGAACATAATTTGAATTCACTGTTTGTCTGTATGTCAGGTATGCAAGCTGATCATCATTCTGGAACATGTTTCTGGAGAGATTCCAGACACAGACATCCTCAACTTCGTGAACGTCGCGTTCTCGACAGTCACTGACGCATTCAAGTCTCACAATATATTCCTGTTGAGGCATATGGTGGACTTCTTTAAAGATGTGCAAGAAAATCCTCATTTCAGAAGTGTACTGCTAACTTATGACAGGTAAATAAAGTGGGATTACTGTTATTTGCTACCTTTCTCATAATCAGTTTGTCAATTTAAGGAATATGAATAGAATGATTAGTTAAATAAATGAAAACATGTTATAATCGCTATGTTTACTGATTAGTTATTGATTTTTGTTGAACTTCAAAGCTTGGAAGCTGTAGGGCTTTGAATCGTTTGAAACAAAATATTACATGAGCTTTAGTTTGGAAAGTAATATCGTGTTCCAGTTCGACTGTTTAAGAGCTGTAAAAGGTTTGGTACCCAGTTTCAACCAGTTCAGATGGTTCCAAAGATGTTTTAAATAACAGACTAATCTTACACGTTTTGATATACTTGCAATAGGAAAGAAATGTTATTACAGTGCATGTATTGTGGAAACTAAAATTACTGCACATGGACTTCTTAAGTACAAACAGCACATTGGTGTTACATTAGCATTTCTTCCAAAAAATGAATAATTTACTTAAGGATGGATTTGAGGTTTTCATGATGGTGAGTCTGAAGATAGCTGTTACCATCTCTTTCTTCTTCTCAACTGGCCCCGTTTACCCATCGGGGTTTGCTGAAAATGTGTTTTCACAACAGTTGTCTTGTCCCACTTCTTCTTCTACATTTGTGTATTTCTTAGTTCAAGGTATTTTACGTATTTGAAACTCCCGTCTCACTAGCAGGGACCTTTTATGTCTTCGTGGATCTGTCCCATGGATTTGGCACAACTTTCAACCTGTGTGTCTTTATGTGGAACTCAGAAATGAAGGTTGAGTGGACTCTCCTCACTTCTCCTATATGGAAGTCAAATTGCGGAGCTCGGACAATAAGTTGTGAGTGATGGAGGATTGATGTCCCACCAGATGATAATTTGCAGTACACTTCCATTACACATTTATTTCCATGTACTTCAGTAACTTTAAGTATCACAAATTTCTTTTATTTGTGATCATAAAATGAGAAAAGATTGGTCCTATGCTTAAGCATCATGCCTTGAGCACTAGAGATTTGTCTCTTGGCTTGCCTAGAGGCAGTCAGAAGTGATGGCTGAATGTTCGTCATTCTACCCATAGTCAGTCCCCATAGTGATGGCTGTATTTTTTACGAGGTCTGTCCAAAAAGTATCCGACCTTGGGCCGGAAAAACAAAGTTCTGTATCTGGGGGGTTGCAGTACCTAATCCCCTTCAAAGTAGGCCCCTTGTGACTCCACACACTTAGCCCAGCAGTCCTTCCATCGCTGGAAGCAATTCTGGAAGGCTTGTTTGGAATGGTGTGCAGCTGCAGCTATATGATGTTCTTGCGGCTGTCAAAACGGGAGCCTTTTAGCGGTGTCTTCATTCTCGGGAACAGCCAGAAATTACAAGGAGCCATGTCAGGAGAGTAGGGAACCTGGCGAACCTGCGGAATGCCGTGCTTGGCCAGGAAACCCTGGATCAGGTGTGATGAATGAGCTGGGGTGTTGTCATGATGCAGCTGCCAGTTGTGTGCATCCCGCAGCTCCGGTCTCTTGCGCCGAACTGCATCACGAAGATGCCGGAGGACTTCTTGGTAGTACTCCTTATTGACAGTTTGGCCTAGTGGTGCGTACTCATGATGCACAACAAGTGATAGTAAAACATAGTAACGTTATTTGTTTCTGTTGCAGTTTTCCTACTGATACAGAACAGTTGTTGCAACTGTTGCATAATGATGCTGCAGAAGCTGAGTGTGTGGGAATCTTCTTGGAGTTCCTGAATTGCCTTGTGACCCTCCAGGTCACTGGCTTTAACAGGCTGTATCCACGCTTGGTGACTGTAGCCATGCAGTGGACCCACACAGTGTTGGCCTGTACACAGTCACTGTCTCTGATCTGCTCGGTGTCTGCTAATGTAAGGCACGGCTGTGAAGATGAAGTGCAACAACACGTCACAGCACAGCTGGAACAGGGTCTTTTGGTGAGTTTAAAGCACTGATTGCAGGTGTTCTGTAAGAAGTCAGTGTTCTCATACATTTAACGTAACTGACAAGAATAGGATCTAGGAATGATGGCAGGATAATACACAACAGATCCTTTAGTGAGGATGGCTGTCTTCTGGGTTGTTGCATCGTGTAGTCTGGTAGAAGTGTACTGACATTTCAGCAGTCCTTGCTGCCTCCATCATCATCAGGGCAATGATGATGGAGTCAGCAAGGGCCTCTGAAACTTTGGTAAGCATCTACCAGACTACATGGCACAACAACCCAGAAGGCAGCCATCTTCAGACTCACCGTTGTGAAAACCTCACTTCCTACATAGATCCTTTGCTGTGACATGAAACTGTTTCCTCCTTAACATTTAACATTTTTAGTCCATGCATTACATCTTCTGCATGATACAGCTGGCTGTTCTTTGCACTGGCATGCTGCGAAACTGTTTACTCCAGAGCTCAAGTTCGGCTCACAATATGAAGTTTAAATCTCCGTTTCCCATGTGGTAAAGGTTAATGGGTTAGACAATACATGTAAGACTTGAGGTTCTCACAGCGGTGATATTCATCGCCCTGATGACGGAGGCAGTATGACCTCTGAAACGTTGGTAAACATCGACCAGACTACACAGCGCAACAACCCAGAAGACAGAAATCTTCATACTCATCGCCCTGATGACGGAGGCAGTATGACCTCTGAAACGTTGGTTAACATCGACCAGACTACACAGCGCAACAACCCAGAAGACGGAAATCTTCATACTAAGAATCGCCCTGATGACAGAGGCAGTATGACCTCTGAAACTTTGGTTAACATCGGCCAGACTACACAGCGCAACAACCCAGAAGACGGAAATCTTTAGACAATACATGTTTTGTATTACCTGTAATTTACCATTTTTTCCTACATTGTAGTGTAAAATAAAGGCAAAAGGCCATAAATATGGAATTCTTACAGGTACTACTTCATGTGCTGGATGTAGAGGATGAAGAGAATTCCTGTATGAATTCAGAGACTTGTAACCAGGTCACTGCCATGTTTCGGCTGCTTCAAGAAATGAGCAAAACTCCATCATTACGCCAGAAAATTCTTCTTTCTCTAAAGCAACAGGTTTGTTTTTCAGTAAGGTATATTTACGTAAGTAAATGGAATACACACCTTTAGAATATCATGCAGATATGTTTATATTAATATTGAATGGAAATGAACATTGTCTTTAAATTATGAAAGCTGAGTGTTATACCATTGCTTTCTTTCTCTTGGAAGAAGTGCACTGGTTCTCAGATGTGACCAGGGAGGAGCAATATTTTGTGTTTTAACAAAAAGAAAGTATACAACTTGTTAACTGCCACGGTGGTCACTGCTGTTTGCCGCATCGTTGTGCTGACTGGTGTGTGCTCACATGTACCCTTTGAGGTTGCTGTGCGGTCTTACCTGTTACCAGAATGACCTACTTATATCCTTTTCTGTATTGGTCATAGATATTGTTACAAGCCCCCACTATAGTAGTAAAGCTAGGACTTAGGTTACCTACACCCCCTCCACAGCCTACAAGCAGCTGGCTGGTTATACAAGGACATATTCTTGGTGTTTCTGTCAGGCCATTTACACTTCTGGAGCAAGACAGCAAGTTATGGAGCACTGGAGGACCATCTCTTAGCTTCTGGAGCAGTGCCACCAGTCTTTAAGTAGCTACCACTGAGCATGAACTGCAATCATTTGCATACCAGTGAGCTGCTGTAGTGTTTATTGCTGAACAAGGCACAGTAGCCATGTATTATGTGCTTGAAGTTGGAACATAAGGAGGACAGTGGCAACCCTCATGGAATCAAAACTAAGATATGTACTTGGTGTCAGTGTGTGGGTAAGCGAATGTCTGGAGTCTGTTTCTTATCATCGTTTTTGTGCCGTTGAACAGGTGATCCAGCGTGTGTTGCAGCCACTGTTCTCAGTGGAGTCTCAGGACCGAAAACACTCGTTTCCGTCGGAGGTGACGAGCCTGTATGTTCATGCAGTTGATCTCATATCTGATCTTGCCCCTCATGATGGACAATGGCTTAAGCTGTATTCAGACGTTCTACAACACAAACAGGTGCAGATGGTACTGGCTATCGCACTGTACATGGGTGAAGAGGATATTAAGCGCCGAGTACTGATGCTCACTGGCACTGTTGGCTTCCCAGCTGAATGGTAAGTACGTGTTCGTTTATGTTTGCGATAAAGTCTGACGCTGTTTTTGCTGTGGCATCAGGAAAGAACAGCATTATGAGTCATTATCTCTGATCCTTTGTACGTGCGAATGATGCCCCCAGTGACATTATTGCCCGTGATGTTCGTCTGTATGCATTTAATATGTACAGAATGGCTGGTCAAATTTTGATTAAATTTGTTATGGGCATTGTGCCATCAGTGGCCATTCTATGGTCTCATTTCTTAAATTCTTTGAGTTGTTGATATTCTCTCTCTTAAAATGCATTTCTTCTAAAACCTTCTCATCAGTTTTTTATTTTATTCCCTCCCCCCATGATTCACTACCAGGAGATAAATTTGTATTCTTCTATGCCTGAAGACCAATGATGGTTTGAAAATTTGAAGATAGTCGTTGTCTGGTGGATAATGACTAGCATTTCTGGAGTGTTGGTTAGTATTTGTCAGACTACGTAGTTCAACATCGCTGAATAAAACTGTCTTCATTCTCATTGCTGTGAGAACCTGAAATCTCAACATTTTAAAATCTAAATTATTGTTTTTGTTCAGACAAAATGTGAGTAGTCTTAGTCTTTGTTCTCTCTCTCTCTCTCTCTCTCTCTCTCTCCCCCCCCCCACTTTGTGACTCATTTTGCTTTTTGTTCACCTTCTGCTGTTTTTCCTATCCTGAGCAGATGAACCCACTTAACAGACATTTGTATAAAGTCACGTTATTTCCTTCAATAATCTAAGTATTTCAGATACTGTATGGTTGCCATATGTACTGTTTGTCTACAAATAAAAACTATAGGACAAAATATTGGCTGAAAGCCTTTTGCAAATTTGCAGTGTGTCATTGCTGGCCAAATCACTGTCTGATCTTGAACCTCTGGTGCTGGCATCAAGTACTTCTGGAATGGGAAAAGCAGATGCAAACGTTGAAAATGTATGTGGAAGCCGACAACATGAAATGATGCCATTGTTAAGTCTTGTACAGGAGGGTCGACTTGACAACTTCATAGCCAAGCTGGAAGAGGCACTAGAACGCAGTGAGATTCGTGACATCTCCACATCAGCAGTTATGGAGCTGTATGAATATAAGCTTGCAGCCATTGGTCACTCAGAGAGAGCTCTGCAGGTAAGAAAGATTTGTATAATCTAACTTAGTGCCTTCTCATGCAAGCTTAAGAGGGTTTCATTGTTTAATCCTTTGCCAAACTTTTCTTTTAACTTTTCCATGGTTTTTTGTCAGTGAATGTAATGGCATGAAACTTATGCTGACCTCTCTACTACACGTGGAAAAATGGTTATTATACCGAAACATGTACATAATATCTTGAAGCTGACAAACTCTGTGCAAATGAACATCTAAATTGTGCAGAACCTTCATTTGAATGGTTACATTAGCAGACAGAATGCAAGAGAGAATCCAATGCTTACTATTCCTAGCCAAATGTACCCATAGAGAGCTGCAGTTCAGTGCACATCTTCTAGCATTGGAATATTTGGTTCTCTTTTGATTGATGGTACAGTCTATTCTTTTAACTCTGTTGGGGGATTAACTTGTCCCTTTTCTGCGTAGATGTGGCATTTATAATGAATGCAGCCAAATTTCAACAGTACAGAGTCAAATTTTAGTTTCTTCATTATGTTTCATGCAAAGAGTCCTGTTGAATTTTGTTTCCTTTGCTCTTCGATGGATGATTATCATGATCACAAATTTGTCCTGTCCCAATCCCTCACAGCCGTTTCTTGAGGAGTTATTAGAAAGACTGAAAAAAAATCTACACACAGTCCAAAAATAACATTTTGAACAGAATTGAAAGATCTTGTACAGTGAATCTGACCAAAGTTCTGCATATTTTAATTCTTCTTTTGCACAAAGTTTATGTGCTTTTTGGATGTCACATTCAACATGTTTTTATTTAAGAAAATGTGTTCTGTGTATGTAGCAAGTTCAGTTTGCTGTGAGCAACTTGGCCATTAAGAGGGTAGAGTTTGTAGATGGCTGTGATACAAGTATCATAATTCTAATCATTCGAATTTTCCTTGTATTTGTCTTTTCTATACCTTCCATTAATTACTATTGGTTATTACGTATATTTGTTATGTAGAGGCACTAATATATCTTCTTGATTTGAAGAAAAACATTAAAAATTCTTAATGACTTATTTGAACCATGTATCTAATTCCTGTGTCATAATCAAGGTGAAGACTTTGTCTCACCATCAGGAAATTACTGCAGGTAGGTACCGTCCAAGAACTCGATTAGCTGGGTTCACAAAGTGAAGCGAAAACATAAAGCTAAGCCAGTGTGAAAATCCATATAATTTCCAATATTCCACATTTTACTTCTCCATTTATTCCTTTCCAGAATATCTTTTTCCCCAGGGACAAGACTGTTTTATCCCTGCCTTGCTTCACTAAGTGTGACCAAGATGTTCTGAGCGTGATGATTAATTATATACAGTAGGGCACCGCATATACGGCAGGTTAGGGACCAGATCCCCGCCGAAAAGCGGATCTTTGCCTTTTTTCAATTGCAAATGCATATCAAAACCTAATAAGATGTTTACACTATCATATAGTAAGTGCACAACAGCGCTAAGCCTAAAAAAACGATATGAATGTAAAATGAATATCAGTTGTTACTTTTTCGTTCACTCACCTTAAGTAGACCATATGTAATCTGTATTTCAGGAAATATTTTGTTAAAAGTGTTCTTAATGTCTTCACGTTACCATTCCTTACTTTACTTCACTTAAGCTCCTCATTTTAGCAGTCTTCAGTGAACTTAAATTATATTGTCATCTCCTTGAAAGGGATTTCTTGTACATACCTGAAAGTGTCTTTCTACTTTGAGGCAAGTCTGGAGGCAGCAAACTCTCACTCGACACATCTGAACCACCGGTTGGCACAGATGAGTGCAGAAGCAAGCAGACTACGCCAGCTGTTGTACCACAATCAGCAGTGCCTTGAAGGCCTGCAGGAGGAGAAACAGGCATTTGTTTGCAGGATGGAGGCAGCTCAAGTGGTAGCAGAACAGGAACACAAGAAGCATGTTACTGTATGTATTCTATTCATTGGAATAATAGCAAATATTCAGGGTTGTATGGGAATAAACCTTTTGTTTTCACAGATTATTTTAAAAAAAAAATTCCGACTTTTTCTTGGTCTGTCTTGGTTCACACCATCTTAAAACAAAAGTGACACAGTGAAAACGTTTTTATGGCTACAATGTCTATAGAATGTGGGGAAATGCTCTGTGTTACTAACTTCTCAGTATTGTTTCTGATTATTTTTACTCAGCTCTCTCAGAAATGTTCTAGGCTGCCATCTGTCTGAAGTATCTGAGGTTTCACTTAGTTATGGTGCTTGCCATATAAGCTCTACATATGGAATAGTTGTTTTCTCAGCATCCCTGAGTTGGCAGATACTATCAGCTTCCCAGAGTGGTATGCCAGAACTGCTGGCTCCCTACAGAGAAGAGTCAACTTACATATGGAAACTCTTTGTTAGAGAACACCTTTGTATGGCTCCTGCCATTTTTCTTTTACTCTCATGCTCCATTATCATTCTGCCGGAGTCAAGGAAAAATAGTCTCCACCTGCAAACCCCCCATGCAGGTAAAAGACATTGATACTATGGGGTGGTGCCCAATGCCCTGAAGGGGTCATTTGTGACCCTGCTATCAGCATTCCAGTGCCATGCAGCCCTCAGCATTATACCTCACACCTTGTCTTTGGAACAGTTTGCTGTCTGAGGATGTTACCCCTCTTCGACAAGGATGCCAAGGGTTGGATTTGAGGGGAGAGGAGGTATAACTCCTACTTATTCTTGACCTCAGTGCTAGATGGGGTGAGTGGTCAGCGACACATGCCGGCTGTTGCTCAGGGAAAGGACCCCCAGCATCCATGGGATGGAAGGCTCGGTCCCCAGAACCGGTCGGAATGTAGGGCATTGAAGAAAAATCCTTTGGCCCTGTTGGGGTTCAAACCACTGGTCCACAGTCAAACACTTTACTTACTAAGCTACTTTGGCTCATCAAATAAACTCAGGGTCTTACTTTATATTGCTGTTGTTTCTTACTGCAGTAATGGCCACAGTTTTAATGTCACACATATCAAGATGTGTTTCATTCATTTAACAAAGCTGCAAGGTAGGTCATCTCTGTAACCAGTAAAATCACATAGAAATTTATAAGTCACTAATGCTTGATTAAAAATGCCTTCCATTTATTTTGCTCATTAGTGTGTACTCAATGGTGTAAAGTGGTACGCATGCACAATATGAATCCATAATCTGTCTCGTATCTTGACTAACTGTGCAAAGAACACACAAATGGTTCTGAATTCTGGACATTTTGTAGAAAACTATTCCCAAAATACAGAAATCGGGCCATTGGCTGTCTTACGTTTGTTCCAGGAAATGAAAGCAAAACAGCGACTGCTGTGCGAGTTAAGTGCTGCAATAGAGGAACTGAAGACAACTGTGGCCACAAAAGAAGAAGAGTTGTCGCTGACAAAGCAACGTTTGGATGCAATGAACAGACAGATTGAGGAAGTACAGTCTCAACTGACACTAGTGGAACAAAAATACAAGGACCAACAATCCAAAAATTCAGGTGATACAAAATAATGCCCACAGAAAATCGTAATTCGAGAATACCTCAGATTGGGTATAGGCCTGTAAATAAGACTCTAAAATAAAATGTATTAAAGTCACACACACAACATACACAGCCCAGGATAAAACTAATAATCAGACTAAAGTCATCTGACTGACAGATGCAGGGTGGGCTACATTGAAGCAAGTTAAAGGAGTCAGCAGTAGCTTAGGCTGTCTATGGTCATGTAAATGAGACAACACATGTTAAAATTATACAGGTCATACTGCCTCCGTCATCAGGGCAATGACGGAGGCAGTATGACCTCTGAAACGTTGGTTAACATCGACCAGACTGCTTGTTTGACCACGTGTAGGTCATGATGACCCACAGTTGATAAAGGTTAACTGCTGCTTTATAGTGTGTTGGCCTTGTTTCAGAGCTGACAAGAACCCTTTCTAAATTAGAAGAGAGAATTGCTAAGAGAGACAGAATTATAGAGGAAATAGGACAAAAGAAGGAGAACATGCAGAAAACAATACAGAACTTAGAGATGGTAAGTAATTTTAATTATTTCAGCATATCCTGTTTATGCGTTACTCTTCAGAAGTAACAAGGCAGAACTCGCCTCTTTCCGTCATTGACAATTTGTTCCTGCCTTTTGGCCAACCTGCTGATGGCCCCTTGTCCAGGATGTAGTACTGCTGGTGGCGTGGTAGATGGCATTGATTTTAATACACTTGAAATAGCTGCTCATGAGCATGGTCATTTCCTTATGGTTTGCATTGAACATGGTTTTGTAACATTTTACTTCCCTCCATACTTCAAGACAGTAGCAGTCAATTTATAGTTCTTTTTTAATTCTAATGTTATATTAGATTGAGCATTGTAAAACAGTGCACTTTCATCCGCATCAAATATGTTCTGTTGTCGTAATATTGGTAATGGAAGAATGTTTGCCATTATTTGTCACTGACACTGAATTACGTGTGCTTAATATTTATCATACAGGAATAGGGGGTTTAATCCACTGTACTGTGAAGCTGCCTGGCAGACTTTAACTCATGGGTTAACACTCTAGAGTTATGCTAATTCAACACACAGTCATCTGGATCACGCTTAAGATACAGCACATGTACAGTAATTTGAATGTAAGATTTAGTTTCTTCTTCCCAGAATGCAGGCAATACATAATGAATACTGTTCGTGTTAACATACAGATCATTTTGGCTTCTCAGACTCTCACACTTTTAGAAACTTCTGCACTTTCTGAAGCTTCCTTTTCAGTCTCATCCCAATCTTTAACCTTTATTATATGGTAATCGGGAATTTGAACCTCCATGCTATGTGACTACTGATTGGACTTAACTAAAATCTTGTCATTACATTCTCTTTCGTGCCATAACCAATCATGTTACCTCTTCTTCACATACTTCTCCATACGACCAGGAGAAATTATCAGTCACATTGCAGGTGACACAATCTGGCTGTCCTTGCAATTTACTGAGTCGTCCCAAGATATTTCGCTGCCGTACTTCTCCCTCGTGAGTTAGGTTGCTCAAGTCAACTTCTTTATTCACATTTTAAACAGTTACACAATGCTTGAAATATTAGGAGAGCGTACAAAAAGCAGCTTGCCGCAAGTTAATTTTAATTCTAACTTTTTATTGTTTTTGGGACTTAGTTACTTCTACTAGAAGGTGGCACATGCAACATCCTGGTGTTTCTGGAGGGCCAGCTACAGCACATTGTTTGGAAAGTCCCCAACTTTGCCCCGTTCTCAAGGCTTGCCCAGAACCAGTCTTGGAAGCCCCTTCCTTATCCAGTGCCTGCAATACAGGAGTGTTTGCCCCAACCTTGGTGGAAGCCCCTTCCTTATCCAGTGCCTACAATACAGGAGTGTTTGCCCCAACCTTGCCACTGGGAAAATGGATCTTGAACACTCTGGCTCGTGATAGGGTTTGGTGACGGGCCGTTTTTGAATGTGATAATGAAACTTCATGTCTCCTAAGAGCAGGAATTTCTTCACTAACTGAGTGCATGTCGGCTTCTCAAGCAGGACTTCGCTCAGAAGAGTTGGTGTTTGACTTGCATTGACCTGCACATTATACACATCAGGAGCATCACGTGCCTTACAGAACACGTGACTGTACGAGGCACTGCAGAATTATTTACTTAATATCGAATATTCACATGCGTATGAAGTGTTTTCTTGAAACAATGAAATGAACATTTCTGTACATGAAGTGCAACAAACGTTCATTACAGCGAGATTTTCTCTGTTCTAAAATCTCTCATCTTTTGGTCATTGCTCTCTTTTTGTTTTTTGTCTTTTTTTCCTCTGTCTAGTTCAGCTGACGTACTGTTGCCGCACATGACAAATAATGCGTGGCCATGTTTTTGTGTTGTAGGAGTTGACTAACTACAGAATGTTGTGCAAAGCTCAGGAGAAAAACATTATGGAAAAGGAGGCTGAGATTTCAACAACACAACAACAACTCGGTGAACTTCAGCGCATAAGGGAAGCGATTTTTGCTATTTCAGGAGGAAAAAAGAAAATGGACAAGTAATTGTTCCCCTGCTTGCTGGCAAGAGGACTTCAGTGGATTTTACAAGTGCAAAATCCTGCATGATTTTATACTTTTATATAATTATTCTAGTGTTTTATTCTTAAAAAATATATAGTGTATTAATATATTGTTAATTTTTAGTGTGTTCATCATATTGTCATGTGCAGGTGGTAGATAAAGCAAGAATCGCCTGCTTAAAAATCTGATTTCTTGAACTTGTTTAAATCTTTCCCCCTTTTAAGCCTGGATGCTGTGATGATATATCAGATTTTAAATGACTTGATGTAGGGACTGGTGAAAACCATGAAGAACCTTCGTGTATTACAACAGGTAAACAATGCCTTCACTAACTGTATGAACTTTTAAGTGTTTGGTGATGTTGCTCCATGTACTGAGACTATTTTGTTTAGTTCTCAGAGTGTAAGGTATTAAATCCAAAATAATGGATCTTAAACTGTCAGTAACAATTTTCGGTGACGTTTGAGTACAGTGTAATCCCACACCATAGTGGCACGGTCTGAGGCATCATGCTTCGGACCGCGATACGGAATGCGCGCTGGTTCGAGTCTCGGGGGAGCAGAAATTTTCTCATGAGCTTTCGGCCAGTGTATGGGACCGGTGCCAACCCAGCATCGTGAGGAAATTGGGGAGCTACAATGGGTAGCGTAATCCAGTCATGAAAGCTAGCAATTGCTGGGGGTTCGTCGTGCTGACCACACATCACCCTATATCTGGTTGGATGATCGTTCACCTCTGCTTAGGCATGTGAACGTGAGGCCAGCAGTCAAGATAGTCGGCTTTGGCTCTCTGGAGCTGTTACGCCACGGATTTAATTTTTAATTTTTTTGAGTACAATGTACTTAAATTAAGAAAATTTGTGTCATGTGACACTATAGGTCTAGCGCAGATTTTATTCCCAGTTCTGATCATCTACGTGTGCTGTAGTTCTTACATACTACAGTTACTGAATAATGAAATGTTTCTAGATTTGTAAGAAAAGAGAGAAAATGTATAAAGGATGGTCGATTAAAGAGAAATTGTGGGGAAAAGAAGAAGACGGATATAAAACATCGTTTACATATCATTATCAAAACCAAGTCTTTATTATGGATATAAATTCTGGGTATTGTACAACACATAAAAGATACAAAACGCATGAAGCTGCAAATAAGTTTCATAAATCTAAGTATAAAGTGATGGTGTATAAGATGAAGAGTGAGGACATTATGAGACGAAGGTAATTAATACAACAGAAACAATTAAAGTCACCGAGTAAGCTGGAAATTACGTAATCTGGATGTCACTTATTCTGTGTTCACGTCGAACTTTTTTGACGAAGCTGACGGAAAACGACTCTCGTGAAAAGATGAAGGGATCAAAGACAAGAAGGAAGAAGATGCTGTGAAGTGGTACATTTCAGCGCAGTCGATAAAGCAGCTGCCCACGGACTTGGCGCCCGGTACATTTCAGCGCAGTCGATAAGGCAGCTGCCCACGGACTTGGCGCCCGGTGCTCGATTCCTATAGCAATATCGATTTTTCTCATCGTAACAGCGTACAGACCAGCCACCTAGACAGTGAATTTTGGAAGTCCTTCCTCGGGAGTTTCGAGGTTAGTGCTGGTTTGTAGAATTGAAGCTTTGAATAACTGTGTGTACCGTTTACGTTAAATTTAGGTAATTATAAGTATGCCTATCGTATGATTATAATAACAAGCTGATAACTTTATTAAACCACATTAAATGGTGTTAGTAATGGCGACAATTCTATTTGTGTTAGGTACTTTCTAGATGAACTTCGTACTTCAGAGGGTTAATAAAGCAGACAAGTAATTATTGACTTGCCGGGAGTGTCGATGTATTTTTGCCACCTTTAAATTTCGAGTTAGTTGTTTACGGCCGCTCTGTCAAAAGAATGGGTCATTTAATATGGACCAAAACTTATGGCCGAAATGTGTTGTGGTATTTGATATTTACCGTTGTGTGTGTGTGTTAACGTCAAATATTTTCTAAAATGTACTTCAAACTGATAGGTATATCGGACACAGATTGACATAAAATTACGTGAATAAATTGTTGTAAAACTCAGTTAAATCAGAATGAAGGTGAAGTACAGAAAGCGATACACGAAAGAAACGTCGACTGTAAGAAAGGAAAGCGAGGAGGAAGTTTGGGAATAATTAAGTAGGAAAGGTATAAACACGGAAAGTAACATGACATGTTTTAATGTGAAGGCTACAAATACTTCTTATTTATCTCTCGTTTGTTTCTCGGCACTAAAACCCTGTTGTGGGTTTTCGCCGCCGCCGCCTCCTTTTCGGATGTTTCTTTGCCCACTGACTGCACAATTTCTACTCAATCCTGATTTGACTGCCGGAGCCTTCTATCAGTTAATCAGGAGACTTTTGGGTGAGAAATGGCCGCTGTATTTTGCTCACGAAACATCTCGTTCATGCTCGTAAGGTTCTTTTACATGCCGTAGATCTACGACATGGAACCACCGGCTTTTTATCACCCTTAAGAATCCATCGACCTCGACCGGGCGAGCACGCTAACCAGTAGTCCACCGAGGGCGACTCTGTATCTCTCGTATTTACATAGTTCTTGATTAGACGTGAGAGGTATATTTTAATCATGTGTATTAAATAATTGTGATTGCCTGCCACTTATGTCGCTGTCCCACAAGACTTATCTCAACCTCCACTTCAGTGTGGAGGAGGACGTGATTAGGTTTACTGTGTCTCCCGTTAAGGAACAATCACTGTTTTCAAGTAAGAGGGAATGTTGTTAGTATCTACTGCCACAAACTCTGTCCATGGCAGCCGCTGAAGAGCACTGTCCACTCCGAGGCTTTCACACCCAGCACTCCGCTATTGATCTGCAAATTATATGCTCTAAGCAGTGTTTGTGTTTGGTGCTGCGAAAGTGTCATTACTGGGGGTGGGGTTCCACTACTGATAGAGCGGAAGGGGGCTGAGGGCAAAGAGGAACGGGGTGAGTTTGTGACGTGTGGAGAAGCGATATTGATTTCAATCCTACATGACCGAGCAGGCCTTTCAGGGGATGAAGGTGTTGGGGAGGGTGTACAGTAGCGGAAACCGGACACAGATAATTTCCAGGCCACAAAGTCCTCCAAATCCTCCAGGCATTGTCTTCCTCAAAAGACTTTTGGAATGCCTAACGCTGTGAATTTCATTTTTGATTTACGATCCATCTCGCCTTATTAAGATCTGTGTACAACTTTCATTGTCTTTCTGTCGTACACTCTTCTAATTGCTTCTTAGTGCATAAAACTTCAACCCCCTGAGATGTAGTGCTGCTGTGCTGTCGCAATAGATTACAAATAAAAACATCTACTGCAAGTATTTCTGAAATTCTTAAACTTTTTTAAGGGACACATCTCTTGATTCTTGCCCACGATGTAAAGTATCATCTTCTATTATCGGCCTTGGATAGTGTAGCCTTTGTACATTTTGCGAAAATTGTTTAAACTTCACAACGTAATTTGTTTATTTGTTTAAATCTTGCCAGTCTAATCACAATAAAGTTCCTATTAAATATTAAAATATTACTATAATTAACATTTAAATATTTAAAATATATTAAAT